CGGTAAGGGGTAACGATTCTTGACCGTGATCGCATTCAATCGGCGGTAGTCCTGCACGGGTCGAAGTGTCCCTTCCTTCTTTTTGATGAAGAAGAAAGGCGACGAAATGGGCGACTTCGATTCCCGTATGTAGCCCTTCGCTAGTTGCTCCTTTAGGAACTTGTCCAGTTCCTCTTGTTCATTGTTCGACAGGGGATACACCTTCGAGTGGAATGTCGAGTAGCCGGGTACGAGTTCGATCGCGTGATCATAAGGCTTCCTTTCGGGTAGCCGTTCTGACGCTTCTTTGGAGAAGACGTTCAGGAACTCGTGGTACTGTTTAGGTACCGACTCCTCGGCGGTTTTGACGACCTTCTTTTTGATCTCTTCCTCAGCGAACAGCTGGGAATACGTGTGCCCTGCCGCGACAAACAGCTGAGGGGCGCCGGGAAGCATGACACCCTGCTCCCAGGCCTCGATCAAGTCAGCTTCGTCCCACTCTACCTCCACCGGATCATCTTCGGGTTCGAAGTCCGGGAGTACCTTACTCCGGCAAGCACCTATGACCGACCGCCTGGACTTCTGCGAGCGTCTGCGCGCCGTGGGCCTGACCCCCGTATCACGCGCAGTCGCTGTTTGCTCCATCCGGCCAGTCTTCCTGGCACTGCACGTTTCAGGGCATCGTGATAATTTCAGGGAGCCTGACTCCCAATCGATTTCGGGGTTGTGCTCTCGCAGCCAATCCAACCCGACGATCACATCTTCTGGACCTATGTCCGTGACCGTGAACACCGTCTTTTCGACGTGCTCTCCTATCTGCATCTGTAGCACGGCTACCTCCGAGATGCTTCCGTCTTTATTGAGTGTTCCATCGATATTGTACAGCGGAATGGGTTCTTTCAATTTCCGCGTTCGTACTCGATTCTCCATGATGAAACGTTTGTTGATGAACTTCGTGGTGGCTCCACTGTCCACCATTGCGACTATATCCTTGTGCCGTCTTTCTCCTTTAAGGCGCACCGGGATGTGGAAATGCTGGGACCCATGGTCCAACTCGTACACATTCGCAGTCGCCAATACATTGTACAGATTATTATTACGCGGCCCGACGCGTGCGGCACGAAGCGCGGACCGGATCAAAAAGACTCCTCCTTCATTGCCCGATAGTGCTCGAGCTCCTCGCGCATCGACTTCATCTGTGCTATTAAGTCCGCCAGCTCGGAACTTTCCGATTTCGCTGAAGCGGCGCTTGTACTCGCCGAGGATGAAGCGACGGGGGCGCTTGTCGCCGCCTGGGTGGAACCCGAGGCAACCGTAGCCCGCGCGTCGGCGCGTTTTGTGTAAGGTTTATCCTTACAATTAGGGCACTCAAAACGACGGTAC